GAGGCCGAGACCTGCGCCCGCCCCGCCGGCAGAGGCCCACTGGCAGCCCCTGCTTTTTCTTGGTCAGAAACCAAAAACCAGTCCCCATCCTTAAGTCTTTGACCTATTTTGAGTAAGAGCGTTGTGAAAGGAAAAGCAATTAAAATATTAAAAATAACAATTTTCTGTGGGGAAGAATTGAACTTGCAATTGAGGATCAACCTACCATCGATCACCCCCATCCTCCAAACAAAGGGAAAGGGGGAGGACTTGGCTCCCTCAACAAATAGGGCTGAGGGAGGACAAAAATGGGAGACACAATCTGCGGCACTGCTTGGAAGACAAAAGGACAAGGAAAGTCGCCATATTGAAGCAGGGAAGAAAAAATCCTATTAACGACACAATTTTTTTAGAAAGCTAGCATTCAAGTGCACTAAATGGCTTTAAAAATTATACTCCTGAATTCCACATTCCCCAACCTTTCCACCCTCTAATCCCATCAAAAAGTATCAAGTTAAAATGTTAATCTTTTGCTTTTAAATAACTTAGGCAATCTGCAACAATTACAAAACATTTACTTCAACTACTATCTTGTATGTACTGGCACTATTATATTTTGTCCTGAATTAAGTGTCTTGCAATCTTTATTCCTAGATTGCCACCTATTTTAACCACACAAATATAACCCAAGCACATTACATTAAATCGAGAGGATTTAACAATCTTAAATCATAGCCAGCTAATATTTGTGCCCATCTCCTTACCCTGCAATCTTTATGTACAGATTGCTTATTAATCTGGCAAATTGAAAGGCGCCCTGCTTGTCTCACACACAAAGAAGTGGGACTTCTGAGCCACAAGATCCACCATCTTTTGTATGTGAGCTCATTAACCCTTTTGAAGACTGCTGCTAAAGGGAGGACGGTAGCCATTCCTCCTTATAAAAGCAAATTTAACGCTTGGCAGTCTGGAAATTGGCTGGATTACCAAGGGTTAACCATCAAAATGCTCACTTGCGGGCCCTCCCTCCCCTCTCCTAGCCTGCAGCAGGGCAGGGAAGAAGTAGGTGGTAGAGAGACTGTTAGACACAAAGGCCCCTTTTAATGGAGATTAAGTGACCGGCTTGGTCCTTTCTCCAGCTCTATGGTCTCATTTCTTCCTCTCATTTTTTGGTTTCACAAAGGGAAACGTTGATTTCTTGTTGCAAGGCTCGTTTTTGAAAATTCGACACTTACTATCCAATTTTTTTGCGACGTCAGCACCTCGGGCTCAGGGGGGAGGGGGTTAAAATTTTGGAGAAAAAAAATTGAAACCACCAACCAGGACCCAAATTTCTATTTGGGGGGCCTCATTGGATCAAAAAGTCTCTTAAAAAAACAAAGGCCAACTCAGTATTCATTCCCCCCCTCCCAACTCCCTTTAGGGAGGGGGGGGGTCGTAGAAAAAAAGTTCTGAGTGGATTCAAAAAAGTAAACGCTGGTAAGTGAATTTGGGTGGGTTTGGGAAGGGAGGGTGGTTGATTATTTTTGAAGTTATGTGGTGACGGTCCTTCGGCCACAGATTTCAAGTCCCAAGCAGCGTGGGCTGGTGGGGTGGGCAAGATAGGTGGGAAGGGACAGAAGACACAAGTGGTTGGGCCGGTGGCTGCTGTTTTCCCTTTCCCCCCGCTCAGGATCCTTTCAAGGGCTTAGATGTTGACGCGGCTTTTCTTTTTTCCTCGTGGCCGGCCTGTCTTTCTCCGAGAAAATTCAAACCTGGGGTAGAAGGAACACAAGGGAGAAAGATGTAATCAGAACGGGTTGCTTTTAAACACACCCCAAACTACCATTTTTGTTGTCCCAAACACCTCCCTGTCCAATCCGGACCTTCATGTGAGCCGAGGCTCTCAAATCCAAGCCAAATTCGTTCCCCAGTCCAACGCTCTCAAGAAAATTTTAACCCCTAACCAATAAACCACCGGAACTTACCTCTAAACGAACCCCAGAATGGCGGCTCCCCGCTCGGGCGAAGTCTTTTATACTGGGACCCCACCCAACGCGCCCAAACCTGCTAGCGCGCCTCCCTTGTCGCGAGACATTGTGCGCGAGGCGTAAATTCATTGGCTAACCCGAAACACAACTCGCTAACTGATTGGCTACCCTTCCTTCACCTTCGCTCAGCCCACTCCCCCCTCCCCGTCACTCTCCGCACGTTTTTCCACCTCCTGCCTAAGGGGGCGGGAGGCGCGTGCGCGTGGCCGGAGAGCTTAGCACCTCCCTTTCCTTTGCCCTCGCCACTTCCGCCCTCGAAAACATTTCTCACCCTGGGTTGGCGGAACTGGGCTGGCGCATGCGTACTGAGGGAATCTCGGTCTAAATTGCCTTCAAAATTGTTTAAAAGGCAAACTCTAAGTATCAGATCTAAGAATCATAGTGACTGGTTCATAAAAAACTCAATTTTGAGGCCAAATTCCACTGTGACGCAGTTGAATTTAGCTTCTCTACCTTGCCCGCCCCTTTCTCGCTTCCGTCCTGACGCAAGTGCGTGGCTGCCGGCCGCGCTGCAGGCTGGTCCTTGGCCCTGCCCTAGTCAGTTTCCCGGAGCATGCGCAGTCGCCTTCCCGGCCATTCCGGGTTTGCGCGTACGTCAAGATGGCGGCCTCCCTGTCGAATAAGCTGCTGAGGTGCCTTCCTAGTCTTTCGTCCTTCAGGGGTGCCTACGGAGTTCAGGTAACTCCTTGGAGCACATTTTGTACAGCCGCTACTTAGTTATGCCTTCTCTAGGTCGTTGCTCAACCTCTGGGAACCGGGAAGTGGACTTTCCCTTAGCGCTTATGCCTCCTCTGTCTAGGCAACACTTTGCTCCCACCGCTCTTCTTCTTCCACTTACCCTCCTTAAAGCTCCGTGCACTTTTCTAAAATCCTCACCCGAGGATATGTTTATTGGCTTTCTAGAGAGAGAAACACTAATCGGTTGCCTGTCCTAGGCTCCCCTACCAACGATCGAACCCGCAACCTGCTTATGTGCCCTGACCGGAATCGAATCCGCAACCTTTTGTTGTGTGGAGGACGCTCCAACCAACTGAGCCACCGGGCCAGGGCTCCGCGATTTTTTAATCCCCAGCCGAGAGCAAAGAGCCAGGGTTGTATTTCATTCACCTCCGAAGCTGTCGTCTGTGCTAAATAACTAGATGAGTGCCCCCTCCCAACCCTGTCATGCACAACCAACTCAACGATGCGAATGGTGTCTAAATCTGTGATGCCCTGGAGGGCCCTTGGCTTCAGGGGCACTAAATTCTACCGGCCCTGCTGTCTCCCAGTAAAGCCGGCACACATTATCTCGACCTGGTGACTGGTTTCCCAGCCCTCCATCTCACTTAGTCCGTTTATTATCAGAGCATACGTGAAAGTTTAACTCGTTCAGTCCTTTGGATTGAGATTTCCCTCCAGCCTCATGTACTTACCATCCTGAAGGTTCTTGGTATGGCAGGGCCCGTTTTTGGTGGGGTTGGGTGGGATAGGACTGTTTGCCCAGCTGCCACTCCCTAAAGTGGGACTGAAGAGTGGTGACGGGTCACTATGGAGTTAATGACAGGCCTGGTAGCTTTAAAGCTAGCGTTAGGACTCGTTTGTTCTTCGCTGTGGAATGTTGACCTTCAACTTTTATAAAGCTGGGGAGCACAACGATTCCGGATTGGATCAAGTTGGAGACTCATCTGACCTACACATCCCTTCCCTGCCATACATCTTTTTTTAATTTTTAATTTAATTTTATTTTTTTAATCTTCACCCAAGAGTATTTTTCCCATTGCTTTTCAGAGAGAGTGGAAGGGGGGAGGGGAGAGAGAGAGATAGAGAAACATTGATGTGAAAGAGACACATTGATTGGTTGCCTCCCTCAGGGGCCCCAGACCTGGGAGGGCGATCGAGTCTGCAACCAAGGTACATGCCCTTGGCCAGAATCAAACCACAAACCCTTCAGTCCAAGGGCCAATGCTCTAACCACTGAGCCAAACCAGCTAGGGCCCCTGCCACACATCTTATGTCCCTTTTATTTTCTTCACCCTTTTCCCCTCTACTAGACTCCATTCATCCCCAAAAGCAGGAATACCTTCTATGTGCCAGGTTTTTAAGTTGTCCTCCCAAATAAGATTGCCTCTCAGTCACCTGTACTAGTTATCCTCTAACATTAGCTTCTTTCAGGACCTAGCTGGAGATAAAGTGATTGTTGATGTCACTTTAACCCCAACAAATGTGTTACCATCCATATATATTCCTGCTGTATTCCATTAACAGTAGATTCCTCATCTCCGAGTTTAGGCAGCAAAACAATCGGGTTCCTTCTTTGAATTCATTTTTTTATTTTCACCCTTCTTTTATAGGTTCCCCTCCAAACTCTCTGCACCAAAGCCCCCCTTGAGAAAGATTCTTTGCCCCCGGTGCCCATTTCCCCTTATAAGAATGAACCCTGGAAATACCTGGACTCAGAAGGTACTTCTAACTGGGGGAGGGTCATGTGTGGTTTGAAATAAATGGACAGAGACACTTCCTCCACCCTAACTTTTGTGGTCTTTCAATTCAGAATACCAGACCCGCTATGGTTCTCGCCCAGTCTGGGCTGACTACCGTCGCAACCACAAAGGTGGAGTACCCCCGCAGCGGACTCGAAAGATGTGTATTGTGAGTTTCTGACAGTGGCACATGGATGGGATATGAAGTGTGGGCGGAGACCACAGTGACAGTGGCAGCAGCATTTCTTCTGATAGGGCTTGGAACATCGTCACTTCCCAATTTCTTCTCTCTACAGCGTAAAAATAAAGTTGCTGGGAATCCCTGCCCTATCTGCCGGGATCACAAGTTGCACGTTGACTTTAGGGTAAGGAAAATCTTTTCTCCAGGATGAGGCTCTGGAGCCTTTATGCAATGCTGAAGAGATAGCGGTAGGTGCCCCACTCTTCAGATCCCAGCGCCCCTACACTCCATTTTGCACTCACTTCCTGGCACTATAAGAACATCTCCTGTGTAGTTTTTTGCCCTCTACTATGGATTATAGTAAAAAGAGTCATTCCTTACCTATGAACTTGACAATCTAAATTGGCAGGCAAGAAAAATGCCCATTTCTAATGGGAGAGCAATGCCCAAAAGTTCATTTATATCCATCACAATTATTAGCAAGTAGATTGGGCTAGTTTTTTTCTGAGGTTTTATTTCCTTGTCACATTGACATTTGGTGGCATGCTGAGACTTGCAGCTGGAGGGAAGATACATAAAGCACTTTTTTGAAAAGCCTTTATTGTGAGGACAGGACTTGCTTCTTACAGAATTAAAAAAACCTTATAAAGCTGATAATGGGAAAGTGTTCTGAGCTTGCAGTGAAGTAGAAGATCAGAAGCTGAATGGCTGGTTATTAGGGAAGTTGGAGGGCATTGGTGTATCAGTCAGCAGATGAAGGTGTGTGACTGTTCTCAGGCCCCTTCTCACACAAATTGTAGAGGAGTCCAGTGGGTAACTTGTCAATTTCAACTGTGTACGATCAGTTAACAAAAAGGTATTGTAACCAATTTTATACAGTTTATAATCACATAACAAGGGAGAGAGAAAGATTACAGATTTAATAGTGTGGATGATTCTGCTTCCACAAGTGTACCTGCTTCTTCCTTGGGTCTCACTTCCTGTGATTAACTTGCTAGCTGAGAGTCATTCTATGTAATTAACTTTAAAATTGATCTGAGTAAATATACACTACATACAGCATGCTACTATAGGCCTTAATTATCCATCTATGCACAATACAACATATACTGTATTTTCTGGGTGGTTTCAATGATTGTCAACTGACTCCCAAATTTTTTGCATAAGGGCTGATTTTTCAACCTGACCCCTGGAGAGGAGAATTCTGTATGAGTCTTAGTGACACAGTGTAGGCCGTGCGTGTAAAATGGGTGAAAGAACAAGAACGGGGAAATGTTTGCTGGGGTTTTCACAAATATATTCAGTAAAGTGATAGAGCTAAAACTGGGACATGGAGGGCAGCACCTGGAGAGACAGAGAGGTTAAGGTCATCTGTGTGGATGTGTAGGGATTGTGCACTTTCATTTCAGTCTCTGATGGTCTTCCTGCTCTCCCCCCACTCCTTCCTCTACCACTTTCCCCACAGAACGTGAAGCTCTTGGAACAGTTTGTCTGTGCTCACACGGGTATCATCTTCCATGCGCCATACACAGGTTAGCCCATCATCCCTGTTCCCACCAGAATAGCACTTCTTGTTTATTCAGATGACAAGTATTTGTTTGGTGGCTCCTACCATGGCATAAAAAGTGCAATTGAACCCTTTGGAAATTTTGGCGTAATGGAGATAGTTACATGCCAAAACAGTTACATGTGGACCAAAGACACAGGCAGGTGTCACTGCAACCTAAATATAGCTTCTGAAAGATAAGTGGTATGATTTTTTCCTTTCTTTAGGGCTCTTTGCTTTGTATGTGTGTTTAATTGATTTTAGAGAGAGGGGAAGGGGGAGAGAGAGAAAGAAACATTCACATGAGAGTGAAACATTGATCGGCTTCCTCTTGCTTGGCCCCTACCGGCAATTGAGCCCGAAACCTTGGCATGTGCCCTGATGGGAAAGCGAACCAGCAACTTTTTGGTGCACGAGATGACACCCAACTCTGAGCCACACAGGCCAGGGAGGGCTTTTCACTTTTACAAAAGGTTTTCTCATAAATTGATCGCCCCATAAGTTCTTTTATACTGCTGACAATTCAGTTAGATTTCCCAAATTTGGAATTGTAAGCTTAACAATTGAAGATTACAACTATTCCCTAACTACAGCCACAGGCTAAAGCTGGGTTACTGCAGTGTATTTGTTTTCAGTGTCTGCCACTGCTTCCAGGCTACAATGGCAAAGTTGAGTAGCTGAGACAAAGATTCTAGGACCCGAAACGCCTAAAATATATACAGAAATGTTTTGTCAGTGCCTGCTAACACAAGTTAAATTTGCAAAGAATCAGAAGTTACTATTTTGGGGATGGCAGCATGATTGGTGGAATTCGGTTTGTCAGGGAGTTTTCAAAAGTACTTTTAAACTCCTGTCAAGCTGTAAAAACTGAAGAGACTGTTTTGCTACTCTCTCAGATTGCCTTCCCCAGACCTGAAATCCTTTCTTCCTTCATTGATTTTTTTTCTCTGCCCAATTTAAGCACATTTGCCTTTTGAATTGTGTTCTGTTCCCTGTTTTGGAGCCTTTACCATTAAATGGCTTCTCTGTAGTGGCTGGACCCTCCAAAGTTTTTATCCCAGCTCTCAGAGAGAGAGGACTTCTTCCTATTGAGCAGATGGGGAAACAGGCCCATGGAGGAGTCAGGAGAATGGGGAGCCAGATCTTCCAAATCCGCCCTCTCTCACCGTGTTGAAGTGGTGTGTATTCTTTACCTACTGTGCCTGATAGAATGAGTAGAGTTGCCGTTTTGGTTCCCACAGGAGTCTGTATGAAGCAGCACAAGAAGTTGACCCAGGCCATCCAGAAAGCCAGGGATCATGGTGAGTGAGAACGGGCCCAGAGAAGTTTTGTTAGTAGACATCAAGAAGGTGACTTAGGGCTAGAGGATAGATATAAATGCTCCCACCTACCTGAGAAGTTAGTACCCATCATGTTCTTCCAAGAATCTCGTTACTCCACTGTCCCTTATTCCCTCTCTTGACTCTCTTGTCATTGTCCTCTTGTTCCTCCTCTTTTTCTTCCCTCTTTATAACTGTTATTCCCAACGCCATAGCTAGATCATAGGAGGAGCTTGGTATAAATTTCTGGCTGGCGCTTCTTAATACCTTTCTACAAGTTAGAAAAAAGTGCCCCTCCATTAGGGCAGATGCAGCTTCATAGCCCTGGTGCAGGGCTGCACAGCTTGGTGGGCAAGAGCCCAGGCAGTATGTCAGCCCACACTTCCCCCTTGGCCACTTGGCCTTTGTGCAGTGTACCACATGCGTGAATGTACCCAGTCAGTAGCTGTGACTGTTTCCTTCCTCCCTTTATGGGTTATTTTCCTTCCTGTCTCTCTTAATCTGAACTACCCACCTTGCTCCCTTCCCTCACTTTCTCTTTTTTTTTTAAATCCCCTAGGTCTCCTTAGTTATCACATTCCCCAGGTTGAACCTCGGGACCTTGACTTCAGTAACTCTCATGGAGCTGTGAGTGCTACTCCACCAGCTCCCACCCTGGTTTCAGGAGACCCCTGGTATCCATGGTACAGCTGGAAACAGCCACCAGAGAGAGAGCTGTCCCGCCTTCGTCGGCTGTATCAAGGCCATCTCCGAGGAGAGAGTGGCCCCCCACCTGAGTCAATGCCAGAGGTGCCACTCACAAAGCCAGCGGAAGCCTCCACTGAACATGCAGGCTCCCAGAGGCCTCTCTAGGAGCTATAGACTGGGAAGGACGTGGAGGGATTGGGAGATAATGCCTAGGAATTACTTGCTGGGCCAATGGCAGGTCCAGCGTCAGTAAAAGGAAATAATTGTTGTTGGAGGGGATAAATACATGTGAGGCTGAGAGAGGGCAGTACAGATGTGAAAAACCCTAATCCCCACGCAGTGTAACTAGATGGGCTCAACCTTCTCTTGCTGTTTCAGACCCCTGCCTGCTCGGCTCTTCCACAATAAAGCTGTGTCTCCTTTCCTCTGGAGTGAGTCTCGGGGAAATGGGTGCTGCTGTGGGGAGAGGAGTGGTCAGGCTGGAGCCACCCCAACCAGTGACTGTTGGGACCAGAAGCCACCTGGAACGGGCGGTTGTGCGGTTCTGCATTGATCACTTGTGGGCCCCCTGTGCCTGGGGCGATGTTCCAAGGCCCACACCTCTCAGCTGATGGCTAGAACTAACGGCTTGGAGAAGACGCCAGGCCTAAGGAAAATGCATTGCTAGGCGCCCACTGCCGGGGGCGGGGTGGGGGGGAGTGGAGTGGAGTGGCGTTGCTAAGGGACCGCAGGTCTGGTGGGAACAGCACGGTCACAGCCCGAGCGGTGAGGGGCGGGCTGTGTGCTGGGCCCCGCCCAGCTGTGAAAGGGCTCGAAACTTCAAGGGGCGGGGCTTCGGTGGCTGGACGGAAATTACGTAGCGCGGGCGGGGTCGGCCACGCACAATGGGCCATGGAGTTCCCGTTTGATGTGGACGCGCTGCTCCCGGAGCGGATCACCGTGCTGGACCAGCACCTGCGGCCCCCGGCCCGCCGACCCGGAACCACAACGCCAGCCCGGTGACATCTCAAACCCGCCCCGAGGCCTTTCTCTCTGGGTTCCCCTAGAAACCTGGCCGAGGCGCCACGCCCCCTTCTCACTGACGAGTGACCCTCCTTCTTGGTGTCCTGGCACAAGCTGTTGGTGACTTTTCATCCTACACTTAGTAGGATTGATGTGCTCGTGGGTCTATGACATTCTACCCCTCGGCCAAATACGTGGTCCAAGCCAAAGGATGTGGTTGACCCGCGTTTCCTGCTTCCCCACAATAACCTCAAGGGAAGAGGGAGTGTGGCAAAAGTTTACGTACCAGAGGGTGGGTTAGAAAATCAGATGGGAAGACAAGATAAAGTCAGTCTTAAGTGCTGAACCTGGGTTGCAGTTGTGGTCCAGGTTCCTGGGAGTAACTGCTCAGAACCCTTATTCAGTGATTATCTGACTTTATCTCCTCTCTTTCTATAGTATTGATGTGCAGCAGCAAATTATGACCATTGTAGATGAACTGGGCAAGGCTTCTGCCAAGGTATTGGGGACACCTTTCGGGACAGTAGATAAGGAAGGCTTAGATCCTTTGGAAGGGACTTGCAGAAACTCTGTCTTTGTCTCCCTGGCAGGCCCAGCATCTTCCTGCACCCATTACCAGTGCATCGAGGATGCAGAGTAACCGTCATGTTATGTATGTGCTGAAGGACACCTCCGCTCGACCGTGAGTGCCAAATGCTTTTCCATCCTGTATCCTTTCCTCTCCAACCCCTTTCCCTTTTTGACTCTACCTCTCTCGGGTACTAACTGCTACTAACCTGTTCATTATTTTCCCCATCCTATAGGGCTGGAAGAGGAGCTATTATTGGTTTCCTTAAAGTTGGATACAAGAAACTCTTTGTACTGGTGAGTGCTATTGGAAGCTGAGAGTTCATATGCCATGATTTCTGAAAACAAAAGTGCTGAAGTTTGGGAGGTGGCCACACTGTCTTGGTCCTAAAATATATTTGTTGTTCTTTACCCCTTAGGATGATCGTGAGGCTCACAATGAGGTGGAACCACTTTGCATCCTGGACTTTTACATCCATGAGTCACTTCAACGCCATGGCCATGGGCAAGAACTCTTCCAGTATATGTTGCAGGTACCACTTCTCTCTTCACCAGTCTGTCCAAAGGGAGATTAAAGGCCCCTTTGCTGTGAGCTCTACCAGAGCCTCTACCTCCCCCTCCCCAAGATCCGCACGTCCTCCTAGTCCCTTCCCAGGCTCCAGAGTTCTGTTGGCATGTTCTCCCCACATCTTCTCCTACCCTAAGTCTCCTGTTCCCTGCAGAAGGAGCGAGTTGAACCACACCAACTAGCCATTGACCGGCCCTCACAGAAGCTGCTGAAGTTCCTAAATAAACACTACAACCTGGAGACCACAGTCCCACAGGTTAGAGGTTTCAGAGGGTAGATTCCCACTGAAAATTCACATTGGATTCATTTATTATTTGGGGGCAAGGAATTGGCACCTTGCAAGCACAGTCCCCATTATACGCTCTCTATTTTGATTCATCATGGCTGTTTTGTATACCTAACATGTTTGTGCCCAGACATAGCCAGCTCATTTTCACCTCCTTATTTTTACACAGGCTATTACTTATGCAATCAACGTTTATTAAGGGCCCAGAATAATATACATTCCCTGTCCTCAGGGAACTTTGGTCTAAAGTGGGGAAGGTGGTTTGTTTATAAGTAAATGCAATATAATATTACTAATGCTAGCCATTCACTCAACAAATATTTACTGAGCACCTGGCACTAGGAAAATACTTTATTCAACAAAACAGATAAAAGTTTCTGCGCTTGTGGAGCTTATATTTTAGTTGAGGAGGCAGACAATCATAATAAACAAGTATATCCTGTGGTTGATTCTAATTGCTCTGGAAAAATGAGAGCCAGTGAGCAGGCTTGGGAGTGCCATGGTGGGGATGGGAGAGTGTGGGATTGCAAGTTTCAGCGGCATAGGCAGGGAAGGCCTCACTGAGGAAGTGTCATTTGAACAATAAGTTAAAGGAGGTGAGAATAAGAGCCAATATCTGGAGGGAGGGATCCCAGGCCAAGGGAACGGCTAGTGCAAAGGCCCCGAGGTAGGAGTGTGCCTGAAAGAGTGACCTGGCTGGTATGACTAGAGCACTGTGAATGATGGGGGAGGGCTGGGGAGGGATTGATGAGATCAGATCTGTAATGGCAGGAAGAACATTTTAGGCCTTAAAGCTATTTCAAAGTCTTTGGCTTTTACTCTGTGTGAAAAAAGGGAGCCATCCTAGGGGTTTGAGCAGAGGGATGATATAACCTGACTTTTAATTAGATCACTTTGACTGTTAAAAATAAGCAGCAAGGCCCTGGCTACTGTGGCTTGGTTGGTTGGAGCACCATCCCATACACCAAAAGGTTGCGGGTTCAATTCCCAGTCATGGCACATGCCTTGGTTGCGGGTTTGATACCTGGTCAGGGTGCATGTGGGAGGCAACCAGTCGATGTGTCTCTCTCTCTCACTTTCTCTCCCTCCCTCCCTTCCACTCTCTCTGAAAAGCAATGGAAAAAATATCCTCAGGTGAGGATTTAAAAAAGAATAATTAAAAGAAAAAGTAAAATAAAAATAAGCAGAAGGGGAGCAAAGGCAGAAGCAAGCAGACCAGTTAGGAAGGAATAATCCCAATGAAAACTGGTGGTAGCCCAGACCAAGATGGTAGCAATACAGTTACTAAGGAGTGGTCAAATTTTAAATATTGTTAAGTTAAAGCAAGGAAAATTTCCTGATAGATTCTCGGTGGGGAGAGAGGGGGGCAGTTAAGGATGATTCCCAAGTTGTTGGCCTGAGAAATTGGAAGGATGGAGTTACATAAACTGAGATGGTAGGTGGAGCAGTTTGGGGGAAATAGTAGGACTCCGTTTTGAATATGTTCATTGGAGATGTCCATGATAAGTCCAGGCTGAATACACAGTTGCGTATTTCCCTGGAGTTCAGAGAAGAGGTTTGGGATGCAGAGTCTTCAGCATACATAGGGTATTGAAAGCAGTGAGACAGGATGACATCACCAGGGAGTGGTAGAGAAGTTGTCCAAAGATTTGAGCCGTTGGGCATTCTTTTAAGAAGTTGGGGAGGCCTTGGCCTGTCCCTTGTGGCTTGTCATCCCACGCACCAAGAGGTTGCTGGTTCCATTCCAGGTCAAGGGCACATGACCAGGTATCAGGCTCGATCCCCGGTAGGGGGCATGCAGGAGGCATCTGATCGATGTTTTGCTCTCACATCAATGTTTGTCTCCTCCACTCCCTACAAATCAATAAACTATTCTTAAAAAGAAAAGAAGTCAGAGAGGAGAGGAAGAACCAGCAAGTGTGACCAAGGAGTAACTACTGAAGTAGATGAAAACTTACGAGTAAATTGACCTGGAGGCCAGTAAGGAAAGTGCTTCCAGGAAGAAGGAATGGCTTACTGATTCAAATGGTGCTGACCAGTGAGGTAAGAAGAGATCTGGGCAGTGACTTGGATTTAGCTTCCTGAGGCTGCTGGTGATCCTGACGAGCTACAGTGCAGTGGTAGGTGGAAGTCTGGATGTGGAGTGGGTTTAGGAGACTGAGAAGCTAGGAACTGGAGACAGCAATAATAGGCCACACTTTTATTTATTTATTTGTTTTTATTGATTTTAGAGAAAAAGAGAAACATGGATTTGTTGTTCTACTTATTTATGCATTCATTGGTTGATTATTGTATATACCCTGATGGGGGATCGAACCTGCAACCTTGGCATATTAGGACAATACTCTAAGCAACTGAGGTACCCAGCCAGGGCCTAGCCCACTCTTATTTTTGTTTTTTAATATGTTTTTATTGATTTCACAGAGAAGAAGGGAGAGGGAGAAATAGAAACATCCTCTTACATGTCCCCTACTGGGGATCAAGCCTGAAACCAGGCATGTGCCCTGACTGGGAATCCAACTGTGACATCCCCATAGGTCGACACTCAACCACTGAGCCACACCGGCTGGGCTAGGCCACTTTTTTAAATGCTGCTTTAAGGGTAACAGAGAAATAGAGCAAGAGCTGGAGAGGGACTTGGATCAAGAGCTTGTTGATTCTTTTCCGTTGTAAGAACTAATAGCATAAGAATAACCCCATACAGAGAAAATCTGATGTAAGCAGGTGGGAAGAACTGCTGAAGCAGTGTGTTGAGTGGGTGGGTGGGGCTGGGATTGGGCTCCTTGGACAGGAGCAGGAACTGTAACAAGATTTGATTGATATGCTTTCTGAGGAGGCATAAGGACACCATGGTGAGTGCTACCTTGGGGTTAAAGTTGGGTAAAGAAAGGTTTGATATATGTTTAACCTTGAAAGGTGAGTGTTGGAGGACAGAAGTGGGTGGGTTAAACGACTTCTCATGTGGAATATCCAGCAAGAACTAAGGCGGAGAGGTATTAAACAAGCTGCCTGGGCACTGTAAGCAGTTTGGTGTGGCTGGAGTGTGGGCATGTGCTTGGGAGGATGAGAGTGGGTTGGTTGACATTACAGCATGATTAAGGTAGATGGACAGGCCTACTGAGAGTAGGGGTAGGGAACGTCCAGCAAAATCATTTGGTCTGGCTCTGCCAAGGCCTTACCAAAGAAAAGCTGTTCAGCCATCATATTAGGGGTGAGTTAATTAAATGTTTGCCCAAATGTAGCAGGCTAATTTTTAAGTTAGTAATTTTATATGGCCTGAGAATGTTGCTTTAAATATCCAAATGACCCTTGGCAGAAAAAAGGTTGCCCACCCTTGACTTAGAGTGTCCTTCCACATATATTTTTCCATTAAGAGGCCGTAGAGAGCAGTGGAAGGACACAGTATTTAGCATGACACATTACACAGGTGATGTAACACCAGAGCAGGATAGCGTATAACTAATACCGGCTAATGTGTGCTGAGCTCTGCCTGGTATCTACATGCACCATCTCAGCTGACCCTTGTACATCTCTTTGAGGTAGATGCTACTGTTGACTCCGTTCTGGGTTTCTACAGATGAGTGACTTGACCAAGTTCACACAACTGAGTGGTAGAGCTCAAATGTGAACCCATAGCTCACTCCTCACAACCACACTGTATTCCTGACTGAAATGGTACAGCTAGAAGAGTGGCGCTTGAGGCCCAGCTCTGCCACTTGTAGCTACTTGGCTTTGGGCAAGCCATGTCTCCAAGTGTTGTTTTGTTCATTCTCACCTGATGATATTTTTCCATTGACTTTTAGAGAGTGAAAGGAGGACAGAGAGAGAAACATCTATGTGAGAGAGAGACATCAATAGGTTGCCCCCTGCACGTACCCCTACTGAGGCCAGGGATCAAACCTGCAACCCAGGTATGTGCCCTTGACTGGAAATCGAACCCGAGACCCTTCGGTGTGCTGGCCAATGCTCTGACCATTCAACCACATTGGCCAGGGTTCCAGTCCTTTTTTTTTTTTTTTTTTTAATTTTTCCCCTGTCTCCAGTCCTTTTTTACTGTTCTTTAAAATAGGATTATTGTGAAGTCCAAATTGAATGTGATAATCACTCTAAAATGATCAATTGTTAGATATCGGAGTGGTACCCTGTCCTCCAGCTTGTCTTCCCTAGACAGCGTCACCCATTTGAGCCCTTAAATCCTCGTTTTCTCAGTGTTTGTATCCTTAACCCCTGTGGCCTTGTCAGTGGGTTTTGTTTAGATAGTTCTGGATGCCTGCCTTGACATTTTGTGCACTTCATAAGGCTGGGTCCTGGGAGAACCTAAAAGGGTCTGGCTTTTTGTTTTTGAGATAAAATTCACTATTTTAACTTTTTAAAATAAACAACTCAATGGTTTTGAGTATATTCACAGTTGTTACAGTTACTACCACTGTCTAATTCCAGAACATTTCCATTTCCCAAAAAGAAACCTGGTAGTCATTAAGCACTCCCCACTCCCTGTCCCCAGCCCCTCTTAACCACTAACCTACTCTCTATGGAATTTCTTATTCTGGACATTTTATGTAAATGGAATTACAATATGTAGCTTTTGTGTTTGGCTTTCACTTAGCATAATGTTTTACTGGGGTTCATCCATGTTGTAGCCTGTATCAATACTTCATTCCTTTTTTTTTTTTTTTAATACTTCATTCCTTTTTATGGCTGAAAAATATTCCATTATGTGGCTCTACTACATTTTGTTTATCCATTTATCAGCTGATTGATATATGGTTGTTTCCAGTTTTTGTCCATTATGAATATTGTGTATAAGATTTTATTCACACTTATATTTTCAGTTCTCTTGGGTATGTATATACCTAAGAATGGAATTGCTGGTCATATGGTAATTCTTTAACTTTCTGAAGAAACGACTAACTTTTTCCATTGACTACAACATTTTACATCTTCACCAGCAGTGGATGAGTGTTTCAGTTTCTCAACATCCTCACCAACATGTTGTTTTCCTCTTTTTAAAAAATCATCATCAGCCCAGCTGGGTGTGGCTCAGCGGTTGAGCGCCGACCTAGGATCCAGGCAACCGGGTTGTGGGCTCCATCAATGACTCTCTCATCATTGATGTTTCTATCTCTCTCCCTCTCCTTTCCTCTCTCTGAAATCAATAAAAGATATATTTAAAATAAATAAATAAAATAAAAATAAAATAAAAAATCATCATCATCCTAGTAGGAATGTAGTATCTCTTTGTGGGTTTGATTTGCATCTCCCTAGTGACCAGTGATGATAAGCATCTTTTCAAGTGCTTACTAGCCATGTGAGTATCTTCTTCTGAGAAACATTTATTCAAGTCCCATGCCCATTTTTAAAAAAAATTTTTTTTTTAATATATTTTTATTGATTTCAGAGAGAGGAAGGGAGAGGGAGAGAGACAGAAAAAGAATGATGAGAGGGTCATTTATCGGCTGCCTCCTGCACGCCCCCTACTGGGGATCCAGCTCCCAATCCCAGGCATGTGCCCTGACCGGGAATCAAACCATGATCTCCTGGATCAGAGGTCAATGCTCGACCGCTGAGCCACACTAGCCAGGCCCATGCCCATTTTTAAATTGTGCTCTTTTTTTCTTGAGTTGTAAGAGTACTTTATATATTCTAGATACAAACACCTTAAAAATATTTGCAAATATTTTGTCCTGTTGTGTTTATGAGTTGTCTCTTCATTTTCTTGATAGTGTCTTTTGAAGCACAAGACTTTACTTTTGATGAAGTGCATTTTGACGAAATCTGTTTCTTTTTGTTGTTTGTGCTTTTGGTGTCATATTTAAGAAATTTTGTCTAATCTAAAGTCATAATTTTCCTCAATGTTTCCTTCTAAGGTTTTCATAGTTTTAGCTCTTAGATCTATTTTTAGTTGTTTTTTTGTTTTCGTTTTTGTCTGTGGTATGAAATCGAGATCCAAATTCATTATCTTGCATATGGATTTTCAGTTGTCCCAGCACCATTTGTTGAAGAGACTGTTCTTTCCCCATTGAATGGTCTTGGCACCCTTGTTAAGAATCAACTGGCCATAGACACACGGGTATATCTCTGGACTCTGTTCATTCCATTGGTCTCTGTGTCTATCCTAGGCCTCTACCACACTGTTTTGATTACTGTGGCTTTGTAGTATTGAAATTAGAAAGTGTGAATCCTCCCACTTCGTTCTTCTTTTTCAAGATCATTTTGTGTGTTTGAGGTCCTTTGCCACTCCATATCAACGTTAGGTTCAGCTTGTCAGGGTCTGAGTGTTTGACTGAGACTGTCAGGAAGGCTAGCATTTGTTCCTCCCACTGTGGCTTTTTTAGCACAGGGTTCTGTACCCAAGTATGTTCTGAGTGGCTGAATGGACAACCATATTTTGCTTGTTTTGTCCTATAGGTGAACAACTTTGTGATCTTTGAAGGCTTCTTTGCCCATCAGCATCGTAAGTGTCCTCACCTTGTGTTTGTTGGTCAAGTAGTTGGGGTGAGGGAACAGAAAGAGGTGGGCTTTTGGTCCAACTGGTCCCCTCACTGGGGCACCACCGCTTCCTTCCTCACAGGGCCCTCTGCTCCCTCTCTGAGGGCAACTCGACACTCTCGCGCTGCTGTGGTCGATCCTACGCCCGCTGGTAATGCTGCACTGAATAGGTGCAACAGTAGTGCTATGATGGCTAGTTTCTCTGGCCACAGAGCACAATGTGATCTGTGGGCAATGTGGACAAATTCTAGAGCAACCCAAGTCTCCAGCAGTCATTACCCATTTGCCTTTACCATCATGGGAGCTCAGTGCATTTGAACTTGTCAAGACTTTTAACTAAGCAAATTATTGGGAGCCTGTTTGACTAATGCTCATGGAACCTTTTGTTGCTTCAGTTCCATAAAAGTAGGCCAGAGTCACATTCCTTTGTAAACCCCTCACGTTTCCATCAGTCAATGAGGGACAGACAAGTGCAGTCAGCCCTTCCATTTCCAGTCATAGAAAATGACATGAATGGCCTGAAGTTTAAATATTAGTTTTAGAAGATAATGCTCAGAATTTATAACATTTCCAACCAAATAATGAAATTGATCTGGAGAAACTAGACCTAGGTGCTGAGGTGCTGAAATGCTGCCCGGGTTCCCCATTCCATCCACATGCTCCCTGCCAATCTGAGCCCCACTCCTTCCTCATTGCCTCCCCAAGGTGGAGAAGCACAGCCTGTGCTGGCCATGCCATGCATCCCTGCATAGAAGGGCCCCTCTCCCAAGCTGGCTGTGACTACTAGCTCTCACCTCCTCCATGGCAGGAAAGGGAGTAACCATCACTCGAACAGTCTGGTACCAGTTATCGGCTTCAGCCAGTGTCAGGCCCTGAGAGGCAATTCATGTCCATGCCTCGCTTTGGTTTCCAAAGCTGCTCCACCCAGCTCATGCTGGCATACAAGCTGTGAGGGGGTGAGAGCCAATAGGACCTGAAGATCTCAGGTCCACAGTCCAGGGCCAAGCACAAAGCTTATGTGGATGTGCTGAGGAGTCTCTTGTTGCCACACATGATGGAGAACCTCTTGGGAGGGAAACGGAGGGAGCAAGGAAAGAAGTGAGGGAATAGGAGGCAGCGCCTCGGTCCGTGCCGAGCCTCCCACTACTCTGATGGCTCCTTTCCAGATTCTGTGTGTGCTTGTCATCCTCTTTCCCCGATAGAACTTAGATCTTTCCCATCTTTGCACTGGAAGGAGAGGTTCTGCTCACCCCACCTCTCCTGACCGCTCTAAAGCAATTCCTGATTAACCAAGGACTTTGCCCGTCTCATCTAGAGGGACTTGGGGTCCTCGTTGGCCTGGCTGGGACCATTCCACTGCCCCAGAATCCCAAGGGCCCCTGGCAGCGCCCACTGACAGTAAGAGCTCACCTCCCCTGGCTGCCCTTCTCCACCCCCCAGGCCCCAGAGTCTCCTCTGGATCCTTCCCCACACTGCATTGGGCCTGCTCCTTCTGGCTCTCCTCAGAAGTGCTCCAGTGACCCTGAACCCCCTGTGGTGTGATGGTATTCCTACAGAGCTGCTTCTGTGATGGACTGAACTCTCCTCCTTCCCCAGGAAGAACTGTGGTGTCAGGGAGCAGAGGTTTGGGGTCGTGGGAGTAGTGGCTGGGAGGAGTACAAAGTGTGTCTCCTGATGTTTCCCTTGCCTGTGTCTTCTCCACCACCAGCTCCAGCAAGGAAGCTTCCACCCAAGAGAGCAGAGGGAGACATTAAGCCATATTCCTCGAGTGACCGAGAATGTAAGACTGGGGTAGGGTGTCTGGATTGGGGTGCCCTAGCTCAGAGGAAGAATTCATTCTCTCTACAGGCTCTGATTTCCTCTCCCCTGATCTCTGCTGTCATGACTGTCTTCCCTCCCCTGTTTTTTCCCTTTCTCTGTCTTGCTCTTTATTCTCCCTCTCCCCAGTTCTGAAGGTAGCTGTGGAGCCTCCCTGGCCCCTAAACAGGGCCCCTCGCCGAGCTACACCTCCAGTCCACCCACCCCCCCGCTCCAGCAGCCTGGGAAACTCGCCAGAACGGGGTCCCCTCCGCCCCTTTGTGCCAGAGCAGGAGCTGCTGCGTTCCCTGCGCCTCTGTCCCCCACACCCTACTGCCCGCCTTCTGCTGGCTACTGACCCTGCAGGCAGCCCAGCCCAGCGTCGCCGCACCAGGTAATAGGAGTTGGAGGGTTAGGGAGCCTCAAGACTGTCAGAGTGTCAGAAATGGCAAAGGACAGTTTGTCAGGGACATGAAGCAACAGGACAGGTGGATTGGAGAATATATTGGAAAATATCTGTGGGAGTGGTCTGGAAATAAATGGCAGTGAAGGAGAATAGGACTTTATATGGAGTCTAGGGACCCCAATTTTACAGTGAGAGTTGGGAGGAAGGGTAGGAAGAATCCATATCTGTAGGTAGGGGAACTGAGCCTCTAAGTTGGGGGAAATGTGGGTGTGATACTTGCTAGGAAGGAGCAGTGTAGTGTCTCTTGATACAGTTGGGGGCCACTGACTCGATGTCAGTGCCTTATGTGGCAGGAGGCCATCAAGCAGACAGAATAAGTATCTCCTGTGTTTCTCTCCCAGCTTTCTCTTCACTTCTGACTTGTTTTTCTCTTCCCCCCTTTTTCCCTCTCCCTACCTCCTGTCCATAACATCCTTCCACAGCTCCCTTCCCCGCTCTGATGAGAGTCGATACTGACAGACAGCTAACCCCTTCCCCTCCCTAGGAGACCATGGGTGGGCAGACCCCTCTCCCCAAGAACCCCAGACCTTCCCTAGAAGGTCTCCTCCAGGATCCAGTGGAACCTGACAGAGCCCATAGGATTCCCTCTTCCCCTTTCTTGGACAACTGGATTGTCAAGGTCCCAGATGGCCTGATAGTTTGTAGCTATTCTTGTCATAGAAAGCACCCCTTCTCTCCTAACTTGGTCTCTGAAACTCTCCCACAGACAGCCTGAATTGCTGCCAGACTCTGGTTGTGCAGCTCATACTAACTATCCAGAGCAGCACACTCTGGCTTGCTGTCAGACTCTAGGACACCATGGAAGGCCCAAAGGCCTGCACTGCCAGGGAAACCTTTTCAGGAATCTTGTCCATGGAATAAATCCCACATTTCACTCTACAGTGTCTACTGGTGGCCCTGATACTGCTTTGTGCTACCTACTACTCTTACCTTTCAGACTGCTCGTGCCAGCCAATGAGAGCTGTTTCAGAGCAGTCCAGTTAGGTAGGAGAGGGACTTACAGCTCCTTAAAGGGATCCTCTCAACATTGCTAAACTCCAATATGTTTTATGTGTCAGGGAACCCCTGAGCTGATGACTGCATGGGGCTCCAGAGACTCACCACACTTCTAAAGACACCATTACTTCCTCCAGACCCAGATTCTGTGAGGCACTTTGATTCTTGGCAGTAGATCCCAGCAAGCACCCTGGGATAACTCTTTGCCATATTTCAGAAGATAAGCCTGAGTCTCAAGGACCTGTTAGCTCCTGGATCCCTCCCTCCCCAGTAGTTAGATGGTGATATATTCCTGTCTTGAGATGATGGGCGAACCCCTCTCTGGCCTTCCTGTCTTCTTTCCTCCATAGCAAGAACCTTTTTCCCTGCCCCATACCCAGGATATAAGACATCCTCCCCCCTCTCTTCCCTCTGAATGTGTGGTAATCAGGTACCCCCACTGTGTTCCCCCAAATCCTTGGGAGCAGGATCTCCCTTTCTCCCCATTCATTCCTCCTTTTTCTTCTCCCTCTCAGTGTTGTCTGAATAAAGTGTGAATTCCTTTGTGTTTTTTAAATGGACATTTTCAATGAGAAAAAAAACACACCAAAAAAACAACTTAAGGTCTCAGCCTCGTTTGTGTGTCACATCTTCTTTTCCTGGTATTTAGAGACCTCTGTCCCTCTCGTCCTCATTGCTGAGATCTGAAGATCTTCTAGCAAGGAGTCTCAGAGCTCCCTTGCAGGACCTGGTGTCCACCCTTCCCCCTCTTCACTGCCGAATCTTTGTGGATTCTGTCTCCTCTCCTGTAGTTGCTGGATCCCTCTATGTAGGCTTCTATGTCTATTCCTCATTCCCTCCGGAGACCTCAGGCTCTCCCCTGTGACTTCTACCCTTCACCCCAGGCCAGCCCTTGCTGAGATGTCAAGATTTACCAACATCCCTGGAATCCACTAATTGCATCCCTGTAACAATCCCCTAATTGTTCCCTGGATTCCTCTTTCCACTCCTTCTCTCCCACCAAACCCTTGGACCTCTCTCAAGACAGTGCCTTACCTCCGTTGAGTTCCCAACACAGTCTGTCACCTGTCTTCATAGGCTCCCTCCCTTTTCCTCCTAAATCAACTTTTCCACTCCCTACAATTAAGGTAACCATGTTTTCCAAACCAAACAACAGGGCACCTGGTCCCACAGATTGGTTTTGTCTACATGTAAGTCTGTTTTTGTGAGATGATTTGCACCACATTTATTAACACATTACTCCAACTAGAAAGAGTAAAGCAACAAATCTGGATTGCTCCAGAAAATCTTTGTGGTATAAAATGCGCTCCCTTTTCTGGGGCCCAGCTTAGATTAAAAGCCCCAGGAAGTATACCTACCCCTCTCTGCTCCTCTCCTCTGATTCCTCCATACCCACTCATCTTCCATCCTGTACCCTCTTCCCCATCATCTCCCATTTCTTCTACAGGGGGACTCCCCCAGGGCTGGTAGCCCAGAGCTGCTGCTACAGCCGTCATGGGGGGCTGAATTCCTCATCTCCCAACATAGGTAAGTATTCATCCCTCCTTACCCTCAAATCAAGTAGGCCATGTTCACTGCTTGCTCCAGCCTTGCCATGCACACATGCCTGGTATTTCCGCAGGCAACCAAGAATGGAAGCAGGGGGAACAGGAAACAGAGGATAGGTGAGGCCTGATCCCCTCCCCTCCCAGCCTCCCAGTACCTCTGTCTCCTTTCCTAACATCACTCTCAGCTCCTTCCTCTGAAACCTTATCCTCCCAACTGGACACTAGCTCCCGCCCAAAAAAAACCCTCCTACCTACTAACATCCTACAAGCCAGTTTCCCCTAAGTTCAACTCTGGTTCTTCCCTTTAGCCAGTTTCCCTGTAAATTCAACACTCGTACTTCCCTGAGGGGTTTCAAGTTTGGACACAGCACCAGTGGTTTCATCCTCATACATAAGAGCCAGACAGACCCTGAGAGTCTGATCTTAATTCCACGTCAGTACCCCCATAACCCACTCTCCATCTCCCTCCTACCTACCAGGTCTGCCAGTGAGGAGCAGATCTTGTCACAGGATGGGTATGGGGAGGAACCCATGCACACAGTTCCTCCACAGGCACAGGCCCCACCAGCCCAGTACTGGACAATGGCTGGGGACATGTTCAACGCCAGGTTCATTCGAAACTTGCAGGAACGTCGCAGCACCAGGCCTTGGTGACTGCAGCCCCGTTACACCTTCAAAGTCAGTATTACCTCTCACTACAGGAGGCAGCCAAAGCCCACCCTCAGTATATGCATTCATTCGTTCGTTCATTCAACGGGCTTGCTTAGCAGTGCCAAATCATTTGTATCTTATTTTAATAAAGTATTTTTATCATGAGAGCTACTGAGAAACTTGACTGTCGTTATTTCAATCTCACCCCACTCACTGCACCCAGTTCAGCCCCACCCCTCCCCAGCTTTTTGCGCAAGCGCCCATGTGTGGGAGCGGAGCTCGCGGCCGCTAATTTACTGCGCAAGCGCTCTAAGGCAGCAGCCAATCCGCTAGCGCAGGCGCACTTACAGCAGGCCATGCCTCGCCGCCTCCCTGGGACCCCGGCAGTGCGCAAGCGCGCATCGTCTCCGTTTCCCTCCCCTCAGCCCCTGNCCCCCTCCTTTCCCCTTCAAGAAGCCGGCTCTGGGGCGCGCTCACCCCGTGAGGAAGCCGAGGCCGCGCTCGGGAAGCGCGCCGTCCGCTCGCGCAAGACCATGTACCAGCCCAGCCGGGGGGCGGCCCGGCGGCTAGGCCCCTGCCTCCGCGCCTACCAGGCGCGACCCCAGGTG